TAGATAGTATTGATATTGCCCAAAAATGAAGTAGAATGAAAACCAATAAAAATAGATTCAATATCAGAAGGAAAGCACCTTATACTGTTCCCATTTACCCGACTACGAAACGGCTTCCATTCCAATTCAGGCACGACACGGCACACAAAAAGGTTAAATATTCAGAAAGAACAGGTAAAGAGAGGCTGGGGTACAGTAGCATTGGAGCGCAGTTGTGATTGTAGCGCGTCGACGCAGCGCGTTACAGTCGCGAAGTATGAACCCTACCCTACTGCGACCAGCTCTATGAATTCGTGATAAACAGCAGACGCGCGTCATACTTGGCGTATGATATGTATTAGGTTGTCCGGAAAGTTCTGCAGTTTTGTGTTACTATTTTTTGCACATTCATTGCTGATTAAAAACTCATTCTCCCTTGCGTCTCAGTAGTACATCCTGAAGAGAATTCTTTGCGCTATCTGATGGTATAACTGCCGTTTCACCATTGCTTGATGAACCCCCTTTTTTAAGATTTTTCAAGCATGTGAAAAGAGCACTTCGGACGATTTTTTTCTTCGACTATAAATTGGGGCAATCCGCAATCGAAACAGCTCAACAAATTAACCAGGTGTGGGGGCTAGAGAAAGCACTGTGCGGCAATGGCTCAACAAATTTCGTTCTGGAGATTTCAGCCTTGAAGATGAACCTCATAGCGGTCGACCTAAAGCAATATCTGACATTCATAAACCACTAATTCTGTGTGTCGGTTTGTCGGTATGTATGTATGTATGTCTGTCCGTCGCAAATGTCTTTCACGGGTTCAAACACGTCAGTGTAGGAGAGTATACGACCGCTAGCCGGTGGCGAAACCAGTTGGTGCAGATGTATCAATCCAATGTTTTGATTGTGATAACACCCTGCACTATATAAGAGAACCATGTAGTGCACTCCAAACCATTGCACGAGCTGCTCGCGTGGCAGGTGAGTGAGACGTGGCAGCGGCGAGATGGGAGTGGGTTGGAGGCAAGTGGGAGTGGGGAGGGTATAATGTAGGGTGGGAGTTAGTGACGGGTAAGGGGGGGGAAGCATAGAGTGCGTTTAGTAGAAACTCATCACGAGTGTGATAATAAAAGCGCCAATCAAAGCGATAAGGTGAATAGAGGAAGGATCAACCGCAAGCAGAGTCGCGAATAAAATCCATGTTTTAGTATCACTTTGAGGCAATGTGTGATTGTTTACAATCTCACTATATAAAAGAATCATGTAGTGCACTCGTATGAACATATTGGTCAAAGATTATTGACTATCTGTATAAAAGAAAAGCCGGTGAGGAGAAGGATAAGTGCAACGGAGCCGGCTCAGCAAATCCATTCTTTACCTCAGAAGAAGGCGTGCAGGCATCAGCCGGCAAAGCCGGCTGGTAAAGCAATATCTGACGAGGATTTTAGGGGGATTTTGGAGGCTGACCCATCCCAAACAGTTCGAGAGATAGCAGAAGAGCTAGGCCTTGGCAAATCCACTGTTGCAGATGGTCTGAAACGCATTGGGAAGGTGAAAAAACTCGACAAGTGGGTGCCCCACAATTTGAGTGACCGGCAGAAATTGGCACGTCTCGAGGTTTCTTCTTCACTGCTTTTGCGCAACAGAAACGACCCGTTTTTGGACCGAATTGTCACCTGTGATGAAAAATGGATCATGTATGATAACAGGAGACGTTCCGGACAGTGGTTGGATTCCGACGAACCACCGAGGTAATTTTCAAAGCCGAACCCTCACGAAAAAAGATTCTGGTCACGGCTTGGTGGTCATCGGCTGGTGTGATCCACTATAACTTTTTATCACCAGGCCAAACCATCACAGCAGAACCCTACTGTGAAGGAAATCGACGAAATGTACCGAAAATTTTGTCAGCTGCAGCCAACACTTATCAAAAGAAAGGGTCCGATTCTTTTGCATGACAACGCCCGCCCACACGTTTCACAAATCACTATCCATAAATTGAACGAATTGGGGGTTGAAGTTCTACCTCAACCGCCATATTCTTTCAGACCTTTCGCCAATCGACTATCACCTTTTCTAACATTTTCAGAACTCCCTTGCTGGAAAATACTTCATCAATCAGGACCAGGCAAAAAAGCCTTCGTGGATTTCGTGAATTTTCGACCACCCAGTTTTTTACTTTGATGGGATTTCTCGACTGCTGTCACATTGGCAAAAGTGTGCTGATTCGAATGGTGCTTATTTCGATTAAATCCGATGAGTGTTAAGAAAGTTATGATCGTTTAAAGTGAAACACTCGAAAACGTGCAGAACTTTCCGGACAACCTAATAGCTCACGCAATCAGATCGCGAAGTATAGACGCACTCACATCAGACAAGGCACGTTATTCGTTAGGGACCTGCAGCGAAGGGGGGGGGATCATATATGGCCGGTGGAAGTATTTGTTTCGAGAAAAATGATCTCCATCACGACTACCCATCCTCCTCTCTGTACTCCCCAGACAGTGCGTCACAGGGAGCGAAGAAGGGAGTCGGACTGAGAGAGGAATTTTCGAGGAGCCAATGTTAAAGAAATTAAGCAGCTGAGTTCCCTTGAGTTTTTCTTCCGTCGATGCTTTTTCCGTTTCAGGCGAGGAGATTATGAAGTGCGGACGGAACACCGTGGGGGTGAGACTGAGAATAAAAGTGGCCTCTACGTCTCTACATGGAAATAACTGTAACCAGTATTTGAAATTCCGTCTGATCTAACATCGATAGAAAGAAAACACACCGTAGTCACTGATGTAAAGGCCAGCAGCGGACACCGTCCATAAAAAAAGTAAAATGATCCTATCTACAGTGAAAATGTTGATCGTTATCATACAATGAAACCGAGCAGAACTCTCTGCAAGATCATCAACGTGACAAATTGTGTAAAGTTTCAAAATAAGTCGTGCGAAGTGCGACGAAACATGTATCAATTTGGGAACCCTTGAATGCTGGTCCCGAATCCCTCCCAGGTTCACAGAATGATTCTCTGAGAGGAGCACCTTTTGCGATGCTTTTTCGTGGTGCCACGCGCGTCCAGAGTCTTGCGGGCAAGCATACGCATAGTAGTTGTTATATAATGAGCTCTTGAAGAACTATCATGAAAAGAAAATTGGATCATCTGTACAGGCTTTTCTGAATCTCTAAGAAATAGTACATATCTTCAACGATAATCTTAGGTTTCCTGAGCTCCAATATCCAAAGGTTTCCTTCTCCGTTCACGCCTAATTATGGCCGTTTTGGCTGCGGACGCCTGGGACGGGTCAGGGCTGGGTCTGACACAGCGCCAGCCTGTTTCCACGCAGTTGTTGCCTGACCGTTTCGACAACTGGTGGAGATCGGGCAAGCGCCAGGCGCCACTAAACCGAAGCCCCACACGCCCCAGCATCTGTAGCGAAAGTGACTGAAATTTACCCTGTCACCCAAATCGTCGTCGACGTCACAACATTACAGTCTCCAAATTATTTGAATAGAGAACCTTTATTCACCGAAGTTAATCAACATTTGACTAGTTAAGCGTGAAGTAATGGATACTGTGAGAGGCAGACGTAGAACAGGACAAAATGAAATAAGTCAAACTGATCATTGTTGGGAATTCATTCAATTTCCAATCTTACTCTCTACAAATAGGTATAACCAACATCAGAAAGTAAGTCTGTCGAAGCTCCGATAACTTTCTGTCAATCTTAACCGACACTTGACAGGATCCTAACCGTCATGCAACCATGACAAGACACTGAAAGGGGCAATGTACTCAATATTTTGATCGGATTTTAGAATCACCTTCAGGAATCAAATCTAACGATGGATATAATTCATTGTAAAAATAACAGCAAACATTATTCGTAAGTTTGAAGTTAGTCAGTTTTAAAATGGTGATTCGCAGTACCATCGATAATATAGGTGGACTAGTAATTTTGCCTAAGCCCGTTCATTTTTGTGCGAAAAGTAATGGATAAAAGGCAATCTCAACGAAGTTAGCATATCGCTCTTCTGTGAAAGTGTTGAGCCATTGCTCGGGAATGTGAGCATTCCTTGACAGTCCTATGAAATGAGGCAATGATAAGTGTCCTAATAGGCAGTTACATGGTAGTTACATCACAATTCAACATGACGGTTTTGAACGGCCACAACATCACTGTACAACAAATTTGGTCGCGATCCGACCTTCGAGGCCAAATTCTATAGTGTCTCCGGGAAGCACTCGGCATACACCAGCAGGTGTTCCTGTCAGGAGCACATCACCCTCTTCTAACGTAACGTATCGAGTAGTGTACTCTATCAAAGTTGGTATGTCGAAAATCATCATATCCGTACGGGATCTCTGCTTCTCCACTCCATTTATGCGACAGAACAATTCCTCAGTGTGAGGATCCTCTATCTGAAATACCGAGAATCAGAACGATTGCAATTGTCGGAACGAACGTTCATAGTTCCCGCGACAGCTCGTGAAATCACCTCTTAATTGTCTATCCAGAGAAAACGTAAATTTCAAAACAACAATCATGGACATCTACAAAGGAGACAAATTGGTGGAGATCTCCGTCTTAGGTACTACCCCGGTCGCGCGATATCGTCGATCTGGAGGTGAAGTTTACAGTATTTTTGTAGCAGGGAGCTGAGGGCTTCGGTGCTGCACGGAGCACTTCGTGAGTTACGGAATCTCCAACGGGGGTTCGTATTTAGCGAAGAGTGGGGTTCGGTCCGGAGAAGCGATTTCCGGCGGTTGATCTTTGCTCTTTGACGCACTGACAAGTGAGTCCGTTCCTCCTTGGCCCTCTGTGAGTCCATTCCTTGTGAGTCCGTTCCTCCTTGGCCCTCTAGTAGTAGATTCGCGGCGCCGCAAAACTACTGTTTCTGGCTGTCTCCGAACCCATTCCCTACCCGCGCTTTACAAATTTTTGGGAATGTTTTATAAAATGATTCCTTCGGTGTGAAGAGATGTCGTAGATGTCCGGAGAGGAAAGGAAAGCGGAAATTCTTCTCAAAGCCACGACGTGCCCTGGTAGCTCCTCCTCGGCTCGACACGAAACATTTAAGGAAATTGGGTACGTTGCCTATTTGACAGATTGTTGTAATTGGCGAAAATTCTCTTCTTCGCCAAATTCTCGTGCCCTGCTCTCGCAGCAAAGGAGCATATGAGACCAGCAGCGCATGGTGTCGAACGACTTGGGGATATAGGGCGAAGATCTCCGCCCATTTTCCTTTTCCAACTTCGATCAGAATCATGAAAGCACTGCCTGAATTCAGGCTGTCCGGGGTAGTGGCGTCGTTGGCCATTTTCTTTACCGCCTTACATTCAACAATAAAAGAAAAACTTACCTCTTCTTTGGGAATAAAATCAGACACAGGACATGATGTGTCGAATGATTTTGCGAGATACCACGGAGCTCCACCTTTTTTAGCCTCATCCTGGAATGAATCCAAATGCAATTTATTGAACCTGAGCGAACAGTCTATAAGCTAAACGCCTTTGTCAGCGGTGGCGCTAGAACCTTCTGAAGGCGGAGCCGCTACAGACCTTACAGAAAAGCAGCTTCACGAACGAACGCCGGAAGAAATGCAAACAAGAAAAGTAAGGAAACGATAATTATGTAGTTAAGTGGAGATAATCACCTGGAAGTCCCTTGCAGTCATATCTAAAGCGACAGTATAACCTCCGACATAGGACATTGCTTCGCTCCTCGGGATATTCTGCAAGAGTGGATTGCTATTTATGCTAATGCTTGCACTTTTTTACGAAGTAACAAAGCAGGTACCTTTGCAGTTTTACCAATCACAACTCCGAGTTCTACTTCTTGATGAAGGTTTTCACATCCGGGTGGTGTAATAATTGGATTACCTTCTTGTACGAAAGCATTGGACGTCTGAAATGGGAACTCAAATATTGAGTACATTCCAATAAACACCATAGTTGGAACCATCCTACTAAATGTGATCCGCTATGTGCGTCCATCTATTAGTCATGGAATTCCCAACTCCCCTCACTGCAGCGTTAGAGCGCTAAAATTGCCAAGGGCGGAAAAATAGGTGTATCAGCGCGTCAGTTTTATGATTTCGATCTATAGCGGTCGAGCGATAAGAAAGTCAGCACTGTCTGGATTCTGCCACTCCTCCGGGATGCGCCGCGCATGCAAGTCCTATAAAGAGTCGTAGTCGCACCAAGCGAGCCTCTGTGTTGAGAAGCACGGACTGACCTACTCGAGAACGACTGATACTTAAACTATGCTCACATTACGATACGCTGTTTGCAAACCGCGATCACTCAAAATCGTCTAATATTATAGGGTTTCACGCGTGAATTTGTAAAGTGTTCAAAGTATGGCACACCTACAACAGCACGGTTTCACCTAAGCTGATCCGGTACATGCGCAGCCACTATTCAAGTCCGACAGCCAAGTGTGAACATCAGCAGGCACTTCTAAGAATTCTCGATCACCGTCGAGGTACACGAACACCTGTCCTCCCACTCTTTTTTGCCATTGCCACGGATGCTATCCGAAAAAAAGTCCCCTGAACCCCTAAAGTCTTTATGCTGATGGCGTGATGCGAAAAACTGCCTGCGAAGATAAGAAAGCGCGTGAGCAGTAGGTGCAAAGTGGGTCAACCACAACAGACACGGACTCAGGTTGAACATCAAAAAACCGAGTAGTTGAAAGCTGGTATAAACAAACCTAACTCCATGATGATCAGTGGTGCTGAGCTCACGTACACAAAAACATTCCACTATCTCAGGTCAGCAATTACCCTGATGCCAATTACCCCAAAGATAAACAATAAGCGCACGTGTAAAAGCAGGTCTCAGTGACTTT